ACCTTTGACATAAAATAGGTTGGAGGTCATAGATACATTCATAGGATTAAGATATCCAAAGTGTGAGAAGCTTTGAAAAAGATGAAGATAGGAAAGGCTTTAGGACCAGATAGTATCTGCATAGAGGTTTTGGAAGTGCATGCGAGACATTGGCATATTTTGGTTGACCGAGCTATTCAACGAGATTTTTGAGAACAAAGAAAACACTAGATGAATGGAGAAAGAGTATTGGCATACCTATTTACAAGAATAAATGCGGCATACATACTTGTATGAACTATCAAGGGATCAAACTTACTAGCCAAACGATGAAATTGTGGGAGAGAGTGATCGAGCAATGATTAACATGAAACAAGTGCATCAAAAAATCAATTCAGTTTAAAGTCAGGGAGGTCAAACCTTGAGGCTATTTTCCTGCTTAGGCAATTGACTGAAAGTATCTAAAGATAAGAGAAGACCTCAATATTATCTTTATTGATTTTGAGAAAGCATACGATAGGGTACCTAGAGAGTTAATTTGGTGGGTAATGGAAACGAAAGGAGTCTCTAGATGATATATTGACATGATGAAGGAATATATGTGGGAGCGATAACTAATGTATGAACAACTAGTGGAGAGACATGTAAGTGTCATTAACATTAGGCTTATACTAAGGGTCAACATTGAGCTCATATATTTTTGCTTTGGTTATGAACAAGTTAACTCAACATTTATAGGATGAGTACTATAATGTATATTGTATGAGGACGATATTGCTTTAATTGATGAAATTAAAATTACAGACAACATTGAGAGACATGTAAGTGTCATTAACATTAGGCTTATACAAGGGGTCAACATTGAGCTCATATATTTTTGCTTTGGTTATGAACAAGTTAACTCAACATTTATAGGATGAGTACTATAATGTATATTGTATGAGGACGATATTGCTTTGATTGATGAAATTAAAATTACAGACAACATCAACGTAAAGTTAGAACTTTGGCAGGGATGCTCTAGAATATAAAGCCAGACTAAGAGAATCTATGGATTGTAAGTTAAATAATAATAGGAGTAGAAACCAGAAATTAATTAAGAATGATGGCTAAGAAGTACCTCATCATCTTCATCAGAGCCTTATCCCAAATACTTAGGGTCGGCTATACGAAGCCTGTTCCGCCATTCTGCTCTATAAAGGGCCATACCCTCAGTAAGTCCATATTGCCCCGTATGCATATTGCTTACGGAGAACAACCTAGTAGGAACAAATAATGTAGATTTAGGATTCTTGAAAAGTTGTGACAAAGTTTTATGCGGGCAACCTACGTTAACACAACCTTCCTTTACCCAAGCTTGGGACCGGCATGACCGCTAAAAGGCTAGTTCAAAGTATCTAGAGGAGATTATTTCTGATATCTTGAGTCAATAATCCATGACCATGGAGAGATTGAGGAACATGTTATATATAGAAATAGAGCTGGATGGATGAAGTGGAGATGTGCTTCAGGAGTCTTATATAATGGAAAGTTCTATAGGATGGCTATAAAACCAGCCATGCTTTATGGGACAGAATGTTGGGCGTTTAAGAAACAACATACCCATAGAATGAGTATAGCTGAGATGAGGATGTTGAGATGGAAAAGTGACAAGAAAAGATAACCTTCGGAACGAATACATCTGAGGGAACTTAAAGGTGGCTTCAATAAGCGATAAGATGAGGGGAAGTAAACTTAGGCAGTCTAGCTATGTGCAACGTCGACCTAGAACAGCACCGGTTAGGAGGAGCAAGTTGGTTCTAGTGGAGGATCTAAAAGGGAAAGGAGAAGACCTAAAAAAACATATATGGAAGTAGGGAGAAGAAATATGGTGACTTATTGTTTGAGGATATGACTTTTGATACAGTGGAATGGAAAAATAGGATGTGTAATCGATCTCAAATTGTTTGGATAAGACTCAGATGATGATGATTATGATGACAATGATGCTTCTTAAAATTATCTTCCCAGAGCAGAGTGCCTTAATACAAGGCCAAATTATTAAACAACATTCACTTGGAACAACGCTTTTCTGCAAGCTTTTGCTTCATGGCTTATGGGGGTCTCAGTCAAGTTTCCCTTCATCACAAGCTCTCATCATCATTATAGAGGGACTCTTAGTAGAGGTTTGAAGGAACTAATCGACTGGCGTCATATCACACACTGTGATACCACAGGGCTGTCACATTATCTCCGCTGATTATTTATATGCTGATGATATGCTCATCATTATGAGGGGGAATCAGTACACTATCTAAAAGAGTTTCTCAATAATTTACTCCAAGTACTTTAGGATGCTCATTAACCATGAAAAGAATTATTTTCATGCTTATGGTACAAGTTGCTTCTATACTTCTGCTATCCAACAATCATACTCAACAGTTATCTCAACATGGTAAGATAACCCCCATGAGCCATGCTCTATTAAGTACTTTGGCATGCCCATCACGATGGCCGAGTAACGAGCAGCATGTTTCGATATCTACAGAGTACAAATCCGAGACTTCTGGTTGGAAATGAAGATTATTTTATTTAAGCATGCACCAAAGTCTGACTCAATCAGTATTCAGTAGCATCTCTATTTACCTTTTCAGCTCTTCCAGTTTTCATTTCCATCATTGCTGAAATTGACGGCATTCTCAGTAGGGTCTTCTGGTCTGTCTCTAGGAATAAAAACAAAAACCCATTGGATTGCATGAGATACAACTTGCCACCCAAAGATTGACAGTGTTAAGGGATGCAAAAGGTTACTGGATGGCAATACCACTGGTACTTAAACTGGCCTAGAATCGTATTAATCAAAGCTTATTATGGTTAAATACGTGATGGAAAAGTACATTAAAGATTCTCATCTTTATGATGCCTGTCCCAAACCAGGTTGTTTGATAGATGAAAGGTTCAGAATGGATCATCAATTTCCCTGTTGTTCGATAGATGATCTTCCAAACCCCTTTCGCTACTAGATCCCTGAATCCTGTCTGGGAGGATCTCCTATAAAATTATAATGAAGGACCACCAATTCAATCTTGGAACATAACACAGGTTTCTGGTTGTGATTGTCCAAGCCATTCTTATCAGGCTCACTAACTCACCCCTTCTGTGTCTCCCTTGCCCCAAATGATTGACTTGGGGGACACAAAATCTAGGAATTTTCCCTATTAATCAGCAAGTTCGGTGGTTCGCCAAAGACATGCAATTATGAACCAGGTTAATCTTATTAGGTCCTTCATTGCCACATGTCAGTTGATTCACAAGTCAAGCAAAAAGGGCATCACCATAGCTTCCTCCTGCGACCTGTGCGGCTCAAGGGAAGAGTCTATCCTTCATCTATTTTGGAATTGTTTGGTGACGAAGAAAATTTGGGATTTCCCTATCTGGCTTGATACATACACACTTTCAAACCAGGTCTTATTATGCTAATGAACCAATATGCTCCCTCAAGCTCTACCATCAAAGAGGTTCCTCCGGAGTCATTCTCTTCTATGTACAGGAGATATGGAGCGTAATGAACAAAGTAAGACACATGGGATACTTTAATGCAGCTCATGAGGGTCATTAGAAGAGTGACGAGATGGATTCAGATATTTCACCTCCATTGCCCTCTTACAGACTCACATTTCAAGATGATATCTATTTTTTATCGGCCTGGGGAGTTCTTTTCCCTCTTGAGATGGCTCCACATATATCCCCAATTATTTGGCCCCCTTCACCACCTGACTAGACCAAAATTAACTCTTACATAGAGGTAATCCAGGTCAGGCATGAGGGGTGGTGTGATTATGGATACTCACAAGTTCAAGTTAAAGGGGTGCTGTGGCTTCAAAGAAGCCACTTGTTAAGAGAACTCCCTCAAGGTCTCCTCTTGGCATTAGACTTGACTCCAGCACTCAGTTCATCAGATACTCCACAACACTGTATAGCATGGTTACTTTCTATCTGCATCTGCTAAACAGGGTGCTCCATATTTATCTAGAAGAAAATCAATTGGCTGATTCTCTTGTGAACCAGTATTGTAACCTCCAGGCCTCCGGTTGCTTCAGTTCTCCAGATTTAATCTGATATAACATTTTATCTTCAATAAGATTTATAACATTCATCAAAAACAAAGAACACGCATCCATCTCCCATGGACCGTAGAGTCCATGAAATGGCCTATCTCAAGTGAGCAAATCGCACTTGGTGCCCTGATAAATGAGTTGTGCAATTGTTAAATTCATTAAGCTCAAATTAATTTTTATATGGATATAGTATACGCCTTGATACCATCAAAACAGTAAGAATACCATACAAAACACTAAGAGATTAAAGCAGGTGTAAACCATTGAATATGATATGTTCAAGTCAGGGGCAATGATATATAAATGGCTATGTAGTTTTCTCCTCCTTGTTTTTGGAATATTTAGCATAAGACTTGAGAGAACCACCATGTTTGAAGATAGTGAGATCTTGTAGGAGTTCTCATGGGAGAACTTACTCTGGTGAATCATTTGCAACATGAATCACCAAAAGCTATAGAAGATAAAACTTCTAAATCATAAGACAAACAAGGAAATCTACAGTTGACTATCTTTGAAATAGATCTTAATAAAAATTTCATAAATAAAATAAGAATGTAGGACAACAATCTGACTCAGAAAATTATTATTTTTTTCAAACTCGCCCATTCTGAATCGTACTTGCACGAGTCACTCAAACCCAGCATCCAGGTCCGATTGAAAAAACTAGTGACCAGCTTAGTCTCACTTCCCAATTTTTCTTTGTTCAGTTTTTTAGACTCGGGTGAGTCTAAATCGTACTCAATGAGTCTCACTCCCTGACACAGACCTAGGCTTTACCCAGTTCCAGGCCTGAGTCCAAGCTTGAAAACACTAATAGCAGAGGTCATGTCATGTAGCATGTTATTCATTCATGATAAAGAGTAACATAAATATGGAAATGGTAAAGCATGAGACACGTCATATAGATCTTAATGAGGGAGCTACCTGTGAGATCATCAATGCCAAATGGAAGTTTTTCATTTGTCGTGATCGTAGCGACTGTAGTTCAGGATCATCAGTTTCACCTACATTATAGAGACAATAAGACTTGAAGGATTTAGAGAAGAATATACCAAAGAAATTGATTAGTATAACCTCAGATTTTTAAGTAGGAAATGCTATTCACAAGTCTTGATGGATTTGCATAGATTGCTCCAGATTCTGTATGCCTCCAGAGAGATTTCTAGGAATGGTTCGCTTGAATACTCTAGAGATTACTAGGTATTGTTGGCATGGAACACTTGACAAATTACTAGGATAACACAGAGATACTGTGGCTTATTTTCTCCTGTTAGCCAAAGCTTCTACAGACGTGGGATTTTACGAATTGCTGAACATGAATTATGTACTAATGGGTGCTATGTCCTAATCTTAAAAAATCAGCAACTTACACTACAGTGACTCCACAGGGTGACTCATTCATCCTAGCACTTTGCTTGCAGAAATCTGTGTTAAGTGAGGTTTATGTGATGTCATCCTATTGAGGATATTGCAACATTTGACATACTCTTCTAATTCGTTTAGTAATATGGTAATATTCATATTCGTATTTTATGCAAAGTAATAGTTTAGACATTTCTGGGTTGGAATATACAATAATAAATTCTTCATCTCTAATTATCTAGTGTTCTTCCAGTTCTAACAGAGATTTGTATATATTTGGGCATAACATTGGAATCCCTTTGCACTGCACATACTGCAGTGCTTAGTTATTTTCATTATGTGCATGTGTGTGTGCATACAGGTCCTCGCACATGTGTGCTGGTGCATGTGTGGGTTGTTTCTCTTATTCTCATTTAGGGGCATGGCACTCACCTGCAAACCTTAAGCCAAATCTAAGGTCAACCTCCAAAGACAAGATTAAAATAACAAAAAGGCAATAAAACATGTCTTGGAAATGCTCATAAACTACCTTCTCTAGAATCAGGAAGGAAGAAATATGGGCAAAATAAGAACAAGATAACCAATCATTGATTATCAGCTCTGTTGTGTGAAGGTCCAGCAAAGAAAAGCAGTTCTTCAGGAACTAATATGGTTCTGAGCAATATCTCATTACACACACAGTTCAAAACTCAATGAAATCCTGATGACTGGGAGATCCCAGGTTAAGTATCACCAATTATGCATGGTATTCTCTAATAAAATGCATCAGCACTCACATATAGAGTGATAACAGTGCAGACCACAAAAATATCAATATGTAAGTCAGGAAGAAATTCACAATCTACCTTCGACACCACAGTTCCAACTAAAATTATCATTACTTCCATCTTGGCCGCCTTCTCCATTAGCATCGTTGTGCTGAAAGATAATCAGGAGCGATGACATATACCAATAGGTTAATGGGTCTAGGCAGAGATTAATTAATCCTTTCTTGTATAAAGACAAATATATGCTTCACACTAGTACCTTAAAATTATAAGCAACCAAATCATACAAGGTAAACCCATCATGGGCAATGATAAAATTCATGCTGTGGTATGGCTTGCGCTTGTTTACCTACAAAAGAAACCATTGAATTAGAACCCGTATATGCACAAAACAACACTTTAATTGACTATTGTTGGTGAACAATAATGAAGACACGGGAAATCAAAGATTTTATTGCTGAAGTCCTTCGGCATGGCACTCAATGGACACAACTTGCATTTTGGGTCATAAGCCTAAATACAACAATATGCCTGCAACAATTAAAATACTACGAAACGACTGTACATTAGAAAAGAATTTTGAGAGGTACATAAGAAAAATGAACATGTTTCGAGAAAATTGAACTAGGCCTATCCAAAGAAAAGAATATTGCAGCCTTCCAACACTTTTCCACCCGGAAGCTCATTTCAGTATGTCATTTAGTGGAAATCCTGCACTTCAAGAAGTTATCACCATAATACCATTATTGAAAAGAAACATGAAGACAAAGACCCAAAGAAAGTACACTACGAAAATGTGTGCATGGTGCATTATGCCGAGCAACATTACAATAGGCTTATTGATGCAGAAAGGAAAGGTGGGAAATTGAATCCACCCTTATCTTGAACCTTAAACAAGTAAAATCAGCAATAATAGAAAAAAAAACATGGTTGTAAATCAAGCCAAGAGAAAAAGAACTTTCTTCTTTCATAAGAAAAAATTCATTCCCATAACATTTGCCTCTCAAAATATGACACCCATCCTTTTATAAGCCTATGAAACCCTAATTTAACTTGAAATCCAAGCAAACATTTAAGACTCTAAAATAACCCCAAAACAATACTAAAATTCCAAAAATAGCCCCATAAATAGTAACATGTGACTATGAACAACACCATGAATAGTACTTAAAAATAGTAAATAAAAAAAAAAAGAAAACCCTAAAATCCCGAAAAATAAATCCTAAAACTAGAATCAAAATATAAATCCTTTGAAATTGAATAGAAATTAAAAATAAGTATAATTTTTTCCTCCATTCATCCTAAAGTATGTGCTTGTGTTATCAAAATCGGACCGGCCACCAAACCACTCAGTGGTCTAGTTCAATCAAAACTGGTTCGACCAACTGAACAAACTGTTGGACCAGATTTTTAAAAATTAAATAATAGTAACATGAAATATATTAAAAACTTTCACCAATAGTGTTTAGCCAGTCTAGCTGCTCAAACCCTGACAGTTCAAGAGGCCTAAACCGGTCAAATATTGTTTTTGACTAGTTTTCAACCAAACCTCATTTTTTCCTTAGACCAGACCGATCAAGGAACCGGTTGGTGTTCTAATGCAAGGAACTTGAAGGAGAACAGGAAAAATCCGAAATCTTTTACACCAAATACAAGTAGCCTAAGGTTTCATCTTCAAAAGCAAATAGGGCTCCCAAAAGGCTAAGCTTTCTCTTTTTCAATCTGAAAAGTCACTTGAATGACTGTCCATAGTCCCCCATACTCCATAAATATTATTATTTATTGTTTAAAGACATTAAATATCCATACAATAAATAAAATGACCCAAAAGTCCTAACTTAAGTGACTTTTAAAATAAATGACCCTAACGATACATGAACCTAGAAAGTCCCCTAACTAGTCCAGAAAATAAAAGCAATCACAACTAACAGAAAAACAACTGAAAATAACTCTAAAATAACCAAAAAATCATCCCAAGCAACGCTTGCTCTTCTTGTTCTTCTTGCTAGTCCTCATAGGGTTCACATCCTCCGAATATATGCGAGAGTTAGGAGTCTGCGGCTCCCATAGAAGATATCACTCCGTCCACCTGATGCACTTGCTGCATCATCGTCTCCCTAGGTTGAGGAGAACCTGCGAACCTTCATCTCCATCTATCTCTGGCGCATGATACTCAGACAAATCAGCAATGCTAAAGATATCTGAAGTCTCCATATGTCAAAGAAAAGCAACCTTGTAATCACTCTTGCCTTTCTTCAACTGAAGAAGGCAATAGCCCCCCCCCTCCCCCCCCCCCTTGACTTAACATGGCACCAACTCCAATATGCAAAGCATCACAATATAGCTCAAAGACTTTATCAAAGTCTAGAAGAACCAACACAAGTCCCTCCATCATCTTTTGCTTCACCAACTAGAAACTCTTCTTGGCCTCATTAGTCCATACAAACACCCCCTTCTTAAGGCAATATGTGATAGGTTCTATGATGACACTGAACCAGACAAACTCCTATACAAAGTAACCATCTAACAAAAACTGTGAAATCGTTTAATGCAGTAGGAGCAAGCCAATCCTGGATGGCAACTACCTTCTTTTGGTCAACTTTAATACCCTCAGTTGAGAAAACAGAATCAAGAAAATTTAAGTTGTCTGTCATGAACTCACACTTTTTAGGATTCACATACAGCTACTATACCCTTAACAAGTCAAACACCAACCACAAGTGCTCCATATGCGCTCACCAATGTTGTATACTAGAATGTCACCAATGTAGACCACCACAAATTACCAATAAAAGGCTTCAAAACCTCATAAAAGTACTGGGAGCATTGGTGAAGCCAAATGACATCACAAATGCCATCTTCCACTCATCCCCTGATCTAATACGAATTTGATGTCTGCAATTCTCAAATTTATCTTAGAAAACACAAAAGCAACACCCAGCATACCCAATTGATCATGAAGGCGCGGAATTGGGAAGCAATACTTGATCATGATCTTGTTAGCAACCCATCTGTCCACACACATGCACCACGTCCTATCCATTTAGGCATCAATAAGGCCAGGACAGCGCATGGATTCATGTTCTCTCGAATGAACCTTTCTGTAGAAGCTCTGTGACCTATTACAAATATTCATGTTGCTTCGGGCTTTTTTTGTATGCAGTGTTGTTTGGTAGGCTAGACCGAAGAATGAGGTCTATGTGAAGTTGGATGCCCCTCATGGTTGGTCACCCCTTAGGAAGCTCATCCGGGATGACATCACGATAATCCCTCATTAATGGCTTTAACGGTGGTGGAATCGAACTAACAAGTTACTCCTCCATTCAAACTACTACATACAACATCCTATACTCCTCCAATCTCTCCATAAACTCCGGCAAAAAAGGAAGATAAGTACACCCCTCATCTAATTTGGACATACTTTCCTACTTAGATAGACCTTAAACCACTTTTACCCTGTCTTTAATAGAGGAATAGGTGTTTTTAAACCCATCATGTATGGTGCACCAGTCATACTACCATGGTCTGCCCAATAAGAAATGACATGCATCTATGGGCATGGCATCGCCTCATATCTTAGCTTTATAGTGTTTCCAATAGAAGAAGGAACTAGACTATAGTTGTTGGAAACACCTATGATTAGGATTCGTTTTAGGAATCGGAATCACGAAATCGCAAGTGCCAGATGATTCCTAATCTCGGAATCACCATCAGTATGATGAAAACCACTGAAGGCATGATTCCCAATAATTGGAATCGCGATCCCATAAAATAGGAACCATGATTCTTATTTGTAGGAATCGGTATCTCATCATATTGGACCTCCTACCTTTCAGGAATAGCACATGACCCCACACAGTTTAATGACTTTTGGAATCTCGATCCTGCAATAGGAATCATGATTCCTACAGTAATGGAATCATTATCCCCATCAATTGGGAATCGAGATTCCCAAAATTCAGGAATCATGCACCCATCCCCTCCAGTAAAGAAGAGAACATTTTGCAAGAAAAGATTGAAGGTTTTACATAGATGATTGGGGATAGACATATATGATACCATAGTTTGATCCAAATTATCTATGTAAAACCGAGCAAATAACACAGCTTGGTATTAGCTTGAAAGACCAAGATATTGTATTTTCCTCAAAATCCAGAGACCGCGAGTGGCCATGAATTTCGATCACCACCAAACCATTTCCTTTTTTCTTTTTCTTTTTTTAGGTATTTAAATCCATGCCCCCCCAAATATAAAATGAGACAACGAATGATAAGCATTTTACTTAGTACCATAGATGATTATTAATAAGCATTTTATTAATCTCCCCTCAAAGGTGCCGCACATAATCCTTTACTTGGTACAGCAAATGATCGATAATAAGCATTTGGTTATAGCAAGCATCTTATATGAACATCTTACCTTGAGGCGGGGCTGCCACCCAAACGTCATACCTTGAGATGGGACTGCCACCCACTTCATGATTTATAGATTAAAAAATTTATTAGGTAACTTGGCAGAGATTATTGTACATGGATTCATCTCGAAAATTTATTAAGGCATTTTTGGCTCTTACAACGTCACAGTCTTCAAACCCAAATCGTGGGTATTTAACCTTGTAAAAAATTGTAATATAATACGATAAGGGTTCCTGGAACTCCTCCGGTAACATAAAATTAGTTCTTTGAGCATTTCCCACAACATATAATTTGCGACTGCATTTCATTCAACATTTCCGTTTGAATCTTGATTTGTATCATTAAAACTTGATTCAATGTTGGTCGAAACATTGTTTGGTGCATCTAAGAATTGTGCCTTTTGATGATGCGTAACTCGCTTGCAAACAACATGAATTAGCAATTCTTAAAATATTGGAATCAAGGTCTCAAACACATTGAACCGCATTGTTGTGGCAACTACGAATCGTATATTCTGTGATATGGAATCTAGATTGCGGTTTCCGAGAATCCAGAATCAAAAGTTAGTGATTGAGGTGATGCGATCCATCTCCCTGTATCCTACAGAAAGAGAACCTTCAGAGGTCCTGCCCCCAGCAAGACATCCGGAACAAATTGGAAAATGAGGTGATAGCGGAGGAAGACCTGTCTCCATATCCTTGTGGTTGAGCTAATAAATGGACCTGAAGGACGAGTGTCCATACCAACGATGCTACATTCCTGTTTTTCCTATCGAAGCAGCAGGTAGAGCAAGCTTATGAGAGGAGATTTAATGAAGCATGAAGAAGCAATCGTCATGAAACTATGAATGTGATTCCTACCATCCAGGGAAAGGCGGAATCGCGACCTTGGTACACGATTAGAGAAACTATAAACTATACATTGTTTAGAAATT